CTGGGCATTGCTCTTGCGCCGTTAATATTTGTAAAAAAGTATATCGCATTTAAGCAGTTTCACTTTAAATTAAATCAACTGGAGCGGAATATTTTTTACATCAGGACCCCGATGTGCATGATCTGCATAGTTAGATTTATTGAGGGTAAAAGACGTGATTCCGTGTACTCTCTTTGCAACGTAAAACTGGGTTCGGTGTACAGAGAAGCTGGTTGGATTGTACTTGGCCAAAGAAGGCCATAAAATATAACAATTTGGTTGCCAGTCCTAAGATTTATATTCAATACCTCGTCACTCCAGGTCATATTGAAAACAAGGAGGTTAAGATTCCTTTCAAAGTTTTTCATCAACGATGACATTATTACCTATTCTGGGAGTGCATCTCATGGGTAGACCTTTTTGACTGAGAAGGAAAACTTCCGCATCTCGAGGCTTGCCTGCTATAAGCACGGTTTTGTTGGGTGATAATAGGTGTCGTTCCTATCAAATTCAAGCTAGTCTTCAGGAGACAGGCTGTAACCTCGTAAAGTTAAAATGGCGAGTGTTTATTAATCATCCGCGTAAATTTGCCTATGAATTACAATAAGGGGATTAAGACTTATAGGGCGTGTTGTATATGGCAAGGTGCTTCGACCTTTAACCATCTTCCTGACCCTCCTCTGAACTCTTTCCACACTATTTTGATCTTGAACTACACTGTATCTCCCGGCTTGTGTAGCTATTCCAAGTGCGGCCCCGCGAATCTTTTAAAATATTAGAGACGAGACTTTCAGCAAAATGCACAAAGGTCTCCTAGTGCTGTGCAATATGGACTTTGCATATTTGTCATTCTTCAGCAAAGGTATGATACTTTTAAGGAGTTCGTCCCCCATCACATGGAGATCTTTAGGTAGTAGCTTCTGGTGTTGGTGGATCAGGTCAGATTGTCTAAATGAAAGATGGCGCACATCTGGCGTTGGACCGCACAACTTAACGAATTGAAAACTCCTCTTAAAGACGTAGGCTTATTTGCAATCTATATCCGTTGACAGGGCCTACTGAAAGTCAGTGAAGGTTATGGGAGCGGC